GAGGTCAGAAGCCCGCGCGCATGGGAGCGGGAGGGAGGAGGAGCGTGCGGCTCAGCGAAGGCGCAGCCGGTAGGGAGAACGAGGCCGCCATCTTGGAACCGGGCAGAGGAGAAGCCGGGCGGAAGGCTGGGGGCGGCCATCTTGGAGCTGGGCAAAGCCTGTGAGGGCGGGCGCGGCCACGACGCTGGGAGGAGGGGACGCGCCTGAATAAATACGTTTATAACTCTAGCTCCGAAACGGGCAGCCTCCGCTCCGAAACTGCCTCGGCAGTAGGGGCTACGGGAAAACTGGAGGCGCGAGTCCATGCTGCGGCGCCAGCTTGCAGCGTGGTCTTTTTTTATTTGTAAAAGGAAAAGAAAGAAACTCTTTTGAACGTCAACCGCTGGTTTTCCTTGTCCGAGTTCTGGCACGGTTTTGTTTTACAGAGACACAGCAGGCGTGAGCCAGAGGATGCCCGTGCCCAGGCAGGAGCGTAGCCAGCAGTGACGCATCCCCTCTGCTCAGCGCTTGCCAGATGGAGCAAGTCCGGCAGAAGGCCACAAAGATGGTCGGGGGTCAGAGGGCGAGGGACAAGGCAAAGCTGAGAGCTGGGCTTTGTCAGCCTTAAAAAGAGAAGACCGTGAGGACCTTGCTGCTGTCCACAGCTTACCTCACCAGAGGACACAGAGAAGATGGAGGCAGACTCTTCTCGGAGTTACATGGCAAAAGGCAGCAGCCACAGATTATATATATATATATATAAAACACAGGGAATATATAAGGATTTTTAAATGTTTTTTATAAACTGGTGATTGTGGTGAAATACTACAACAGGTTGCCCTGAGGGGTGGAACCTCTGTCTTTGGAGTTGTTCAAGACACAGCTGGATACAGCCCTGAGCAACTTGAACTGAACAGACAAGCTTTGAGGAAGGGGTTGGACTAGATGACCTCTGGATGTCCTTTCCAATCCAAATTATTCTATGAAAACTTTTTAAGTATTCCATTTTTAGTGATAAATGAAATGGCTTTTTTCTCTTTTAATTTGAAAGTATTTTGTGTGGATTTTAATGGTAAAGTGATCACTCTGGTTTTGCATAATCTGATCTTCCATATTTTAGATATGGAAGAACTTCAGGAAGCAAAACTACAAAAAGACAGCTGCTTTCTTGACTAGCATAGTAAGATAACAAAGCCAACAAGCATTAAGATGTGGCATCAATAAATTCAGAAGTACCTAATCCAGAAACTAGAGAAGGTTAATTTTCTTCTGTGCTTCTAATAAGTCAGAGGACATTGCTTTACTAAGGCTCTTACTGTCCATCAAAACTACAGCAAAGTTTGGGCACAAATGGCCACTCCCTCTGGGGGTGGGAGGGCGGGGAATTATGAAGGGAACTCCTATCTGCATCCTGGAAGTTAAATACGAACCTAACTGGACTCGAAGTCAGTGTGTACCATCAGCTGCATTTGAAGCTCATTCAGCCTGTTACCAGTGTTTCAAGTGCTGTTAATTGGATCATAATTGCAGAAGAATGGCGATACTGGGTCAAGAAACCCATTTAGCTTCATGAGTGCAAATCAGGACCTTTCACAGCCACCTTTTTCCTGACAACAGCTCCCCGCAATCCATGTTTTTTTCTTACTCCCTGACCCAGGAGTTGCACCTGAACCTTTGCGTGTTAACAGCCGTGTGATCCATGAAACCATCCAATCCCATTTTTAAACCTATTTCTCCTTTTATCCCCTACAATATCTTGCTACGTGCATTCCACAACACACAAAGTGCATTAACCTTTTAAAGTAATTTACAGATGGTACTGCTTCGTGCACCCTTTGGTTTGCATCTCTGAACTTAGAAACCTCTTTTTATGCTGTTTGACAAAGATGCGGAATAAAGTTGTACTCATGTGCTGTTGCTTTTGCTCTTCAGCGAAGAACAGCTTCTCAAACATCAGTTCTGCCTTTCCTGCCACCTGGATCATTCATTAAAGGCTTATGAAATGTGTGCTAATCTGGGAGATTGTCTAACTGAACCAAACATTTCTGGCGAGAAGGTGTTTTACAGTCTGAAAAACCAGACATGGTTATTTCATAGATTAATTCTCTTCAGTGTTATCTCACACAGTTGAAGAGAGCGTGGCACAAGT